AATATTAATGAATATAATTTCAAAAAAAACTGTTAAACATATTTAGAAAAAAKCTTAGAAATAGTTTAATTAATGTTTTGTTGAAAAGTTTTACTTTGAAAATCTTTATTTTTGAAAATAAAATTTTTGTTTTYGATCAAAAAATTAAAGTAATATTCATGAAATCAAATAGTTTCAAAAAATAAAAGTTTTAAAAACTATTTAGAAAAAAGCTTAAAAATTATTAAAATAATATTTTGTTGAAATGTTTTACTTTGAAAATTTTAATTAAAATCAATTTTTTTTAATGAAAATTACTTTGAATTTTGTGAAAAAATATTAAATAATTATTCCTTAAAAATAAATTTTTTGGAAGTAAATAAAATTTGAGAAAAAAGTTGCCAACTTGTTGTACTGCAGCATTTAAATATTTATATGGTAAGAGTATGCTATTTGCAAACATAATATGCAAGTATTTTATATTGTAGCTCATACATAATTTGAAAAATATAAAAACCAAAATATTGTTATATTGCTAATGTTTATTGTTGTAAGTAAACATATAGCAGTTTTATAAGCGCGTAGTTACAAATATATAGAATATGTAGCAATAGTTGAATATATTTTTTGCAATTTCCATAATAACTACAAATATATATACATACAATTACATACATACATGGATGCATACATACCAATTTTGCAGCAAAGGTAACAAAAGCTTTTTAAACCAAAAACTGCAAATGTAGCTTGCATTAAAAAATAAAATTACTTCAGTTTATAAAAAACAAAATATTTATACAAATATAATTACGTAAGCAAAATAATAACAAAAAATAATAACAAAAACAGTTGAAAATATGTAAGTAAATAATTATTATTAATATTAACATTTTATAGTTGAATTTTATAAAATTTCCAATTATTAAGTTAAATTAAATATTTTTTTACGTAATGGTTGTAAGTTAAATGTTTTTGGTATTTTATATATAAACTGAAAATACTCTTAGCTGTTATTTTATGAGAATTTCTAATAATTTTTGTTACAAATGTTGCAAATATGAAGTGAAAGTGAAAATAACTGCAAAGCAGCCATTTTGCAGATATTTTCATTATTTTGTATACAATACAATTAAATGTTGCCTCTAAGTTTTTTAATAAATATAATTTTTATACAAGTTGAAATAAATGTTTTTCTTAAATGTTAAAATATGATATTGGATATTCGAAAAAGTCGTTTCGTATTTTTAAACAAACTTCAACTTATTTTTATATGCCGAACAGGGTATATTAAGTTTGTCACGTTTGACACCCAGAAAGAAAGTTCGGACACCCTATAAAGTATATATTAGTTTGTCAAAAAAGTCTTGCGGTTTTTTTATTGAATTTTCAATTGTTCATAAAATGTTTTTTGATGACTCATGCCCAGCTCTTGAACCGATGCTACGGCTGCTACTATGCCGGTCTCTTTCGACCAATTCAGCGATTTTATCGCAATTTTCGACGACAGGCCTTTCGGAGCGTGGCGCATCTTCGACCACCAGAACGAAAAMGTTGAATCGGGTCCATAAATTGCACAAATTGTATTGGCGGCTTGAGATGCGTTTTTGCCTTTACCGTAGTAGCAGAGAACGTATATTTAACGTTTAACGTATATTTACGTTCTCTGGATTTAGCCATGCCCGTCTGTCTGTCTGTATATATACGAACTAGTCCCTCAGTTTTTAAGATATCCTTTTAAAATTTTGCAAACGTCATTTTCTCTTCAATAAGCTGCTCATTTGTCGGAACTGCCGATATCGGTCCACTATAACACATAGCTGCCACACAAACTGAACAATCGGAATCAAATTCTTGTATGGAAAACTTTCACATTTCACAATGTATGTTCACAAAAGTTGGCACAGGTTATTTTCTAAAACAACAATGTAATRTCCGAAAAAATTGTTCGGATCGGATTACAATAGCATATAGCTGCCATACAAACCGGACGATCGGAATCAAGGGCTTGTATGGAAAACTTTCGCATTTGACGTTGTATCTTGACGAAATTTGGCATTGTTTACTGCTTAAGGTTAAGTTCTCTAGCGATGTCATGGCTGTGACGGTCTTGGTAAACCTTTTCCATAATTTCAGCGACTTTTTCAACGATAGGTCGACCAGAGCGAGGTGGATCTTTCACTTCGAAAGAACGGAAACCGTAGCCGTCTGCCGTAAACTTCACAAATTTCATTGGTTGCTTGTGAGGCAAATATAGCGAATTTCTGCATTATTTTCACTCATTTTTGAACAACTTGAAACTTTTTTCAACTTCCCCGAATTTAATTTTCTTTTTTTTTTTTKTTTAAATAAACCTAAAAAACTCACCTTTGCAACACCACACCACCATATGGGATGTCACAATGTGATTGGTAGAACTTTAGATATATATCGCTAGCAGATGACTTATGTCAACGATTTTTCCAGTCCTAGAAACACTATTGATATAATTGGCCTCAACATCCGCGTCATGAGTTCTGCTTTCTCCAGCTTGGATAAGGAAGCAAAGCAAATGGGTCTGGTAGTGAACGAGAGCAAGACGACATATATCCTGTCATCAAACAAACAGTCGTCGCACTCGCGACTWGGCACCCAACGTCACTGTTGATAGTCATAGCTTCGAAGTCGTAGATAATTTCGTCTAACTTGGAACCATTATTAACACCAACACCAATGTCAGCCTCGAAATTCAACGCAGAATAACTCTCTCCAACAGGTGCTACTTCAAGGAATTTAATTACAATTTTATTTGTACATACTTGAAATTTTGGTGAAGATAAATTTGCCATATGATGAACGAGTCAAATGTTTAGAATAATATAATATCTTCACAGGGTAGAAATACTTTTATGAACCAATGAGGTCTATGACTGAATACAAAACCATACAAGTCTCTAAATGTACATACATAGTAGATGCATACTTAGAAATTTATAAATGAGATTTAATTCTCGGTTTTTCATAAAAATAATATATTTCCTTCTCCCCTCCCTTAACTAACTTTTACCTTTATTAAAAGTGCATACATACATATGTACATACATATGTATATATGTTTGAAATTATTCGTCGGTTTAT